TAAAAGTTTGATCAGAGGCCTCTTGCACCAAACTACCTAGCTAGGTAATCGAAAAACCGGTTTCAGAATAAGCTAATCTAACGGTGGTAAATTTGTTTGTAATAGCCCAATACATAATCCTACATGTGCTTGCTAGATTTTGCACGCAAATTGTTACATTTGAGACTTGAACTGGGTATACGATGCAAAATCATCCAAACATTGGTGCAAGAGGATTTTGGTGCAAGAGGCTTCCGTTTTGATCCGGGTTCAACCTTCAATTCCCAAATCCGGCCCGCCCATATCCGTTCTTTTTTAACAAATTTAGAATCCAATCCTATCCGGTCCGCGGATTTATCCGTGGATAACGGATTTATCCGGCCCATGAAGTGCTCTATTGTACTTGTTTGATTTGAATGAAATAAACCTTACTGTTTAGGTAATTTCTTAAGCATTTGTTTAGAATTGCATCGACTTAAATATATGACCTTGAAATTTGCTTAACTCTGTTCTTAAGCACAAAAATTGAAATAGCAAAAAACACGCCACCTTCGATTTGACTCATTTTCATATATTTTATTGCCTACCATACTCTTAACAACCTGTGAAAAAATTAGAGTGGGCCATTCATAAGTTTTGAAGAAAATGGCACATATGCAAACGTATGTTAGCACGCGCAGTGGAGGGGGAAGAGTGAATTTCGCCCCACCCCTCCTGTTTTTCGCCAATATCTCATAATATTGATGCGAAATTACTTATGGCTACCTGTCCAGAATTGAATTGGACATCTCATCGTGCAAGCAATAAGAAAATCGGTTCACAACTGTTCTAGTAATAGCGGTGTAAAATGAGCATCCTGTCGCCGCGGCGACGCGGCGACTCGGCAGCCGGCGCCGACCGCTACGCGCCGCCTGAATTGTAGACTGTGCCGGGACGGAACTGAACGGTTCCGTCTTTACATCGTGCTCCTTACCGCTGATTACGTTCGATTCGCGTCAAATTTTGTGAGAAGACTAAGAAATGTACAGGCAATCTTATGGTGAAAGAATTCTGAAAATAGGTTGGTAAACAATTGAAATATGAACGTGTAAACACAAAATTGTGCCTGCTGCGTTTCCCGCGTCGGCCGATCCCGCCTCAGTCGGCGACATGTTAGGTACTCTTAGCAGGACTCTAACTGCCATATTTATTATCGGATTAACTAGAAATTCCCCGTACATACTCAAAAATATATGTTCTTTCGTATAGTGAAGATCAAAAGACGTGAAGATATCGTTGCGTGATAATGTTTTCGTTGAATTTATTTCATGATGCATTTCCTCACGGCTCAAAATTCACCGCAAAATACCGTTTGCCTGAGACACTTTTACAATGGAACGTGAATGCTTGACTACGATGACTATGCATTTCCATTCTCGCAGAGTTTGGGATATCACTAATCAGCAATCATTCATTTCAGAAAGTGTACACAAGCAAGCATGTCTTGACTCTGTCTTTCAAGGTCACGCGCGGTTGCGTGATGTTGATGCATGAAAACGGCGTTTGCCGCGAAAGTTATGAATGGCCCACTCCAATTTTTTCACAGATGGTTAGGAACATTGTGACGGACATAATATGTAAAGGTGGCGTGTTTTTTGCTATTTAAATTTTTCTGTTTTAATTCAAGGTCAAATGCATTTCAAGGTCACTTCAATTTAATTTTATAATTAAAAATCAAAGCCTTATCAATTGCCTACAAGACCCTGTTAATATCATTTTGATACCAGAAAAGGAACCAGAGTTATAAGCATTTAAAAAAAATGATGTGTTGCATTTTTGGCTATATTCGATGACCTATATCTCGGCGATACGTTATCAAATTTCGAAAATATTACACGTAACTCAGTTTTGAACCATGCCCAGTCTGCCTACAAATTTTCAGAAAAATCGAAGGGGATGACGGATTTCGGTGTTTGATTTGACGTGGAATGCCCCTTCAATGACCTCTGGTGACCTGACCTTTGACCTGACCAAAAAATTGACCAAAGTGATTTCGTCATTATTTTTGACGCTCTTTCGAACGCCGCCTTCCGCGTATCGCTACGTGGCCCAGGAGCCGAGTTAGAAGGGGGGTGTTCAAACACCCCCCCCCCCCAGCAGGGTGTGGAAATCCAGGACCCCCAGCCGGGCGCGGGTTAAGTGTTGAAGATGCGATCGACTTGTTGGGTAACAAACCGGCCATGATCATGTAAAATGGCTTCATCGTAGATCGATTAGTCTCTGAGATATAACCGGAAATGTAAAAGTGCAAAACCTGCCGCTTAATCTCGCGAGAGCCGTACTTACAAAAGTATTCGGTACTTGCAAAAGTACTCTCCAAACAAACTCGATTAAAAAATTTGTAAAAACGCCCTGCCGTGCCTGCTGCTGTGACGAGGCCGCGCCCCAGACCGCCGATCGGGCCGCGCCTCCCACCGGCACCGTCAGCGACCGGCGCGGCGGCGGTCGAGGTCGCCGCTCGGCTCGGACCGGGACGTCATCGGGCCGCCAGCAATGAGCGACGGCGGCGGCGGCGGCCCGCGATATGCGGTCGCGGCTGGCGGCAGCTATTTCTGCTGGGAGCGCGCCGGCTCCGCCGCCGGCGGCGCGACCGTCTCCGTTTCTGACCCAGATGGGGGGTGGACAGCAAGCGACTAGAATCGGCGGTCATCGGCGGCCGGCGCCGCCCGCGCTTGAGACACTGACAGCCGCAACGTCCCCGGGCAGACGGAGGTAACGCCGCCGAAAACTTCACTCAGAAAATGGAGATGTACTTGAAAAAGTGAATGTAGCAATTAGTCAAGGTTAATAACTAACAACCCGTATAACGCCTTTTGGGGCGACTAACGGAGCGAGCGAGAGGGTGGGCCTTGCACGTGCGAAATTGCGAGGGGGTACCTCCAACTGACTTGTGCATGGCATCCTACTAACCGGTCTCTAGCGATGTGCCAAATTTGGGCACAATCGGCCCAGCCGTTCTCGAGATCTGGAAGCGGCACCCTGCACGTGCGCACGTGCAAAATGGGTCCCAACTGACTTGTGCACGGCACCCTACTAACCGGTCCCTAACTGTGTACTAAATTTGAGGGTAATTGGTCGAGCCGTTCTCGAGATCTGGAAACGACCCCTGCACGTGCGCACGTGCAGCAGCGCCCCACCTCTGGCACATGGATATGCAGTGCCTACTGCCTAGTGGGTGCCTACCTACATGCCATCTTTCAGCGCAATCGGCCAAGTAGTTACCGAGATATTGCAACAATTACAAAACGGACACCTCTTCGTTTTGCACGTGGCACGTGCATAAGGGGTCACCCACATGCATCAGGAATAGTCCAATACTTGGTAGAAGGAATGAAGCTACCCTACAAAAATTAGGTACCGCGTGTAAATCGGTCAAGTGGTTGCTGAGATATAAGCCTCGCAAAAGCGTGACCACGGCTGGCCGTGGTCACGGCCGGCCGTGGTCACCAAACTGACCGATGGTCACGGTGGTCACAAGCGAAGGCCGAGAGCACAAATTTACGCCGAGAGCACATAACACACAAAGGCTGTTATGTGCTCACATAACGGCCTTTCCATATATGCAGCCTTTCACATAAATAACGGCCGTTGTATATGTGACGGCCGGCCGCCGTCACATATATACGGCGCGGCCGCGCCGGCAGGCCGGCCTGCCGGCCGGCCGGCCGCTCATACTCAGAAATTTCCGTTAATCTAAGGAAAGACTACGCTCGCTTCGCTCGCTCCGTAATAAGCTCGGCCGCGGACTCAATCGATTTTCGGACACTTGGAATCTAACTCCAGCTTCCAAAAATCAATTTCGCCTCCGATTTTGACTGGGAGCCTAATGCCCGTGACGAGAGGAAGCCGATGATACCCAATTTTGAGGTCCTAGGTCATCGGTTGACCTCACCAGGTCAGGTAAATGACCTAAAAGTCGAGAAAGTCGGGACCTGTTAGAAAGTCGTAAAGTATGGCTACGATGTTTTTTCGGGGTGCTGGTAACGAATATCATGATATCACAGATGATGTTTTCACGCATTTAGGCCAGGTCGGGTCAGGTCAGGTCAGGTCAGGTCAACCAGAAAGGGTTTTGTCGGGTATTCGTAGTAGGTGGCAACCGCCTCTGACAGTTTCGTAACATGTTACGAAGGCACCAAATTTACTTCGTAAATGTTCAAATGCGCTGCAAAATTCGAATTCAGCTCCAAAAACTAACATGTAGACATGCAAAACTCGAAAAAAGTGAACCGAGGTCATCAAAGGTCAATGACCTGATCTGACCTTCCGGTGACCTTGACACTCACCCTAATGCATGGGAGCAACATCATATCACATGTATGAACGCTTGGAACCACGAAAAGACTGCAAACGCGCGGCTAATGCGAGCCGACATGTGCCGAATCGCGATTCCGGCTAAGCATCGTCTCGAAAAGTAGGTCACAGGTCAAAGCTTATTTGGGTCAGGGTCATGAAATTTTCAGGGTAGGTGTAAAGTTGATCAACTCGAGGGTACTAAAAGTTTCGTTGCGGTCGGCCGCTTTTTACGCGAGTTATTTGCGAAGAACCTGGGGGGGGGGGGGGGGGGTCCGTTCGCCCCGTCCCCCTATACGGGCGAGGGTTAATTATACCCTTCCTACACATAACCGTCATTTCCGGCTGTGTCATTTGATGAGGATAATAGAACACATCGAAACACATCCTATAACGAATGTATCATGGCGGTACTATCAAAAATACATGTTTGAAAAGCGAAACCTGACGTGATCGTTTCATGCTAATGCCCTTATGTAGAAAATAACTGAAATAAAGAACGCAGCATAAACCAACAGAGGTCAGCTTTCTAGTGCACCTCTCTACGTTCCACTCCGTCTCCGTCCCCGCCGCGGGCAGTTACCCCCCTGCAGCGTCGGTGCCGTCGACGGTCATGCGGTATCGGCCCGGTGGTGACGGCGGTGGGGCTCCCAACCAGAGGAGGGGGCGGGGGGTGTCCACCGGAGGGCGCGCCCTGCAGTATTGGCCCAGAGGTGACACCGGTCGGCCAGCACTCGACCCTCCCTGCCCCGTGTCCAGCCGCAGACCAGCCCCCCTCCAACCAGCAGCCATGGCGGTAAGAACTAAGGACCTTCGACGGACGGCGGAGCACGCAGAGTGCGTGGTGCGAAGCTTGGATGACTTGACATTGCTAAATGCTAAATGTCGTCACCGAATGACACGTGTTTATGGAGTGTGTTGTAATTGACCGCGACTGAGCGACATTAAAGGTAGTGTGCCACCTTTGAAAGATTTCCCATTTTATTTTTCCTAGGATAAGAAGCTTCTGTTTTTACCTAATATCGCAAAAAAAATCAAAAATGGGCCTGGAATAGTGCCTTTTTCGCCTAAAAGTTTTTCGGTTTTTAGATATGTATAACAACTGTAGTGGGCTCACCTGCAAACAGGCGTCGGGCAACAATCGCGAATGCGGCGCACTTGTGACAATAAGCAAAGGTCATTATAGTGTTACGACCATACGACGTACGGGAATGAGTTATCAGCTGTCTAATCGTAGACAACATAATGTCGAGCCTTAAACTGTAAGCCCGTATTGGTATTGTTTCTTTTATTTGGCTGTCGAACATTATTTATGGTTTGAAATATGATTTTATGTAAAATAATTGATATGAAAAAGCCGTCTTATAAGTTATGACCCCATTTCACCACACGCAAGTGGCAGAAATGACAATGATCAGCTGACGCATTTTTCTTGGCCGAAGTCAGAGCGCGCGGCCCGACGCACCACGCGTATTTGGAAATTCCGACCTCGACGAGCATCAGAAGCCACCTAATAGGCGTGTTCGAAACCGCAGGAGATGATGATGAACGGGTTTATCGAAACTTGATTGGATGAGCATATCGGTAATAGCGATTTCAGTGTGTGCATTTATTGTTCATAGTGGTGTGAAATGTGGTTGGGGTACGACCGACAACCCGTCGGGGCGAATTTCGCACTGGGGTACTCAAAATTTGAAGAATTTAAGACGTTTCCATGAGTTTTGAAGGTATGGATAAGTTCTAAAAATCCGGTTCTCCTTATCTGGGCCATTAACTCCATACGGTCCAAGAAAGCTGGCACACTACCTTTAAGTGTGGGCAGCCCATTTACCCGAGACAGTGCATGCCCTACTGATAACTTTTAACAAAGGGTGGTCGGTGCTATAATCACTAAACACGGTCTTTTTATCACCCTAAGGCTTACATTTCGGCATATGACCCCTTGCGGCATCTGACATTGATGCCATGTTACCATTATCATCGGAAAGAAAGCAAATTAATTTCATTTCATTTTGATGTTGGCTGAATTTTCCCGCTACCAGGAGTTGCGCCTTTGGACGGTAGGGTCAGGACCTATACGGACGGTAGCAAGCACTTCTTAGCGTGTGTCCCGACTCTGTTAATCCGTCCATTCAAACATACAAAAAATTAAGATACCTACAAAAAATCCACCGTTTTTTTCTCATGTGGACAAACTCTCATCTAGGGTAATTGATCAACCTTAGATATGAGATAACGAAACATACCAAAGCTTAGGAAGAAAATTAAATGCGATGTACTGCACAATTAAAAGCAGGAACTCATGTTAAAAAAGTTTGAAATAACACAATGGAATATATCATTGAACCATGGGGTATTCATTGAACGGCAAAGCAGCGCACGCCAGGATCGAGGTAATGTTTATGTAGTGCAATCATGAACACGGGTGTAACATTTCAGGACCACGGTGTCGATGAGGAGCACTTGGCCAGTAAGTGCGCCGCGAGGGTCGCCGCAAAGCCTGCAGCTCTGTTCTGGAGCCACCGTTAACCACCATGTGCAGTGTGTGTGTGTCTATGAATTGTGATGTCCGCGGGCTCTTACATTAGCCGATTGGTAACTTTCTTGACGCACGAATGACTGGGCAATGATCCATTGTCTTTTATCATTAATCTGCAGATTCGATAAAAAGCATGAGAGTTGGATTGGCCAGCCAGAATGCTGAGTGGGTCGTTAGTAGCGTTATAAGTACTCATTTCAATGACACAGTGACGCACCCTTGTCACTATAACATGGTTTGATCGTTGTTGAAAATATTCCTAACCGGGAAGCGAGGGCGAAAATCAAAATACAGCTTTGATTTGGAGATGAGAAGCAAAGCAGGGCACTGCAACTTCATAACACATACCGAAATGAGCTATTTACGGGCACATACACGGATTGACTTATACGGAACATTCCGCGCGGATGATTTTCATAAGTAAGCTCGCCAAGCATAGACGTTTCATTGCATTCTAATTTACATTCTTATCTATATCTATCCCTAAAATTGTTCTTTTTCCTCAAAACATATAGGGTAGTTGGAACAGACACATAATTAAATAGCAGCCTTAGTTATTCGCATCATTGTAGCATCTTTTCAATTCCGTTAATCCCGATAATGGCTTTGCGCCATGGATTACCGTAACAGCTGCTGCTAAGGAGTTGCACCTACGGGTGATATGCTCACTGCAGCGTTACAGTTTCTGTTCGCCGATCTGAGCTATGGCCTCAGCTGCGGTGCTCCGATGGGTGCCGCACCGGTCCCGAGCCCCGATACCACCTGTACCCTCCACAGCCCGCCTTGGAAGGCAGCCAGCCGGGTCCATGGTCCGACTGGTCAGTCCTCACAGTTTTTCTAGTGTGCCGCCGCCCTGTGCCAAAAGCAAGGTGAAGCCATCACCTCGTTTTCTCGGCGATGGGAAACAGGGAAGAGCACTGGCGCGCCGCCAGCGTCTCTAATGTGCCAGCGTTTGACAGCTATCGCTGCACCTCACAGTGTTACACCTGGTTTACGGATCATGCCTCTCGTCAGCTAGTGTATGTTTGCGTGTGCGACTGCGTGTGTATTCCGATCATGAATGGTGTATTTTGTGTCACAGGACGTGGAGGTAGCGCCAGAACAGCTGGAAAGTAAGACCGGTAGTCCAGCATGCCGTACTGTTCATAGTTATTGATACCCTGTATTGTTTAGAGAAGCGGCTAGCATAAACTCTAGTGCAGTTCATTATCTATGAGCTCTGATTCGCAGTTCGCTTTAATATTTTACCGAAAAAATGCAGATCGATCGTTGTCTTTTCTTCGACCATAACTGGGTCGTTGCTCGATTTAATGTTGCCAGAATCCGTAACTTCTGTGGCAACATACACCTTTTAGCGTTCTTTTTCAGAAGTATGATTAGAAGCGAAACTATGGCTCGAAATAGTACCAAGACCTTTTCTGTTTACATTACATCGTCAACTTCCCATACCTGGTTGTGAGTGCCTTATACAAAGCTCACCCAATGCTGACGGGTGAAAAGTACAGGCAGTCATAGCAGATGTGCCTGTATATAAGCAATAATGCGGAGCCGTTTTGGATAGATGCTGCTTTATGTCTTGAAACCAACGGGTTTACTACAACTGTTGTCTATAGCTGGCAGGCCTATGCTTTTTGCATATTTATTGTGGTGTCGATGCTTTTCCGCAATAGTTCTCGCCGTTTAAGTGACACAGGCTGAGCGATAGGCATACATAGAGAGATAGTGCAGCTCACTGCTTGGAACGAGCTTGATATCACTTGCTAATGCAGCTTAGCCACCTTATTCATTTTATTTTGCTCATTTTTCCGAGTTATATTTTCGTTACCGGTAGCTGATAAATAATGGTCGGCTATCACATGAACTAGAATAAACATGGAAGCCATCCATGCTTCTGGATCTATCTCAGAAGTAAACAAAAACACTCAGATGGCCTTTCTGACAGTGACCTGCTGTACGCCTAAGGAGCCAAGTGACCTGATTGAGATTAAAAGGCCGAGATACCATCAGTTTTCACGAGCTCGCTTAGCCATTTAGAAGAAGAGCTTACCGTCAGCCGTGGTTTCCTGGTCGGGAGGTCAGCGGTCGCGCTGGACAGGTGGAGCAGTGAGTCAGTGACAGTTCGAGTCGGTTAATAACCCGGCTCTGGCAGCCACACCTTCTACAGACAGTAATTGAGAGGCCGGACTCAGCTCGGTCCAAAGCGGACGATATATGGGACAACCGGGACGCTCATGAGCGGCTGTCACCGACATTTTAACTATATTTATTTTCCAGCTATTTTATTGTTGTTGCTCTGTCAGAGCACTTCGTGCAAAGAAGGATTGCTTTGAACTTTTGAACTGATATGCTTTGAACTGCTATGCAGTGGACCGTCTTCAAAGCTCAACTAAAAATCGATTTTTAACATATGTTAGGTATTCAAAATTATAAGCTAAAGATTCCCTGATATTCGGATAGCGTAGGGAACATGGCAGTCACTAGAATGAGAAGATAATGGCACCAAAAAGATGAACTATGCTGCAATTTAATCTGATGTCTTGGTCAGATTGTTAACACGTGTGATCCCTTTTGAATCTTGTATTCGAATGCCTGCTGTCACTAAGAATAAGATGGCAGAGTCATATGGTTGAGTTCATCTAGCAATTCATAAAAAAAATGCGTATTCATTACGCAGATGGCAAAACAAATTGCCGTGAAGTCCTCTCAGCCACCGCTCTCGATACTGGCCGGCGATAAGACGATCCTGGCACCACGTGTCTGGCAAGGGACAGGGCAGCGGGGTAATTAGCGCCCGCCGTCACCGCCCCCCTCTCCATCCCCCCCCCCCCCGCTGTCAGACGGGAGGACGATGGATGCGACCGCTAAATCAGGACCACGAGGACACTGAGAGCACAAGTGACGCCTCCTCCGCCGTCACCAGCAGTCAGGGAACAACGAGCGCCCTGTCTCACTCAGCGGCGATCCTTGTTATTGATGGCGTTAAAGACAGGCTTGGGAAATTTATCGGGTAGTTATAACCAGTAAAACGCCTTTTGGGCGACTAACGGAGCGAGCGAGAGGATGGGCCTTGCACGTGCGAAATTGCGAGGGGGTACCTCCAACTAACTTGTGCACTGCACCCTACTAACCGGTCTTTAGCGATGTGCCAAATTTCAGCGCAATCGGCCTAGCCGTTCTCGAGATCTGGAAGCGGCACACTGCACGTGCGCACGTGCAAGCGGGGTCCAAACTGACTTTTGCACGGCACCCTACTAACTGGTCCCCAACCGTGTACCAAATTTGAGCGCAATCGGCCCAGCCGTTCTCGAGATCTGGGAGCGCCCCCTGCACGTGCGCACGTGCTGTAGCACCCCAACCTTAACACATGCAGATGAATTATCTGATGGAGATCTAACTGTGTACCGAGTTTCAATTCAATCGGCCCAACCGTTGTGCCGTTATTGAGATTGCAATTTTGGGGGTTCTTAAAAAATGTCCAACTTTACCACGCGCCACGTGCGGTGGTTGGCAAGAATGCATGGTGGCCATCACACCACAGAACTTTTACGTCCAAGTGACATTCAGTAAAGAAGACCGCTTGTCAATCGGATGTCCCGTTCCTAAGATATAAGCTTTTGAAGAGCGTCCCCACGGCCGGCCGGCCGGCCGGCCGCTCATACTCAGGATTTTCCCTTAATTCAGTACCAGTATAACGCCTTTTAACGCCTTTTGGGGCGACTAACGGAGCGAGCGAGAGGGTGAGCCTTGCACGTGCGGAATTTCGAAGGGGTACCTCCAACTGACTTGTGCATGGCACCCTACTAACCGGTCTCTAGCGATGTGCCAAATTTGGGCACAATCGGCCCAGCCGTTCTCGAGATCTGGAAGCGGCACCCTGCACGTGCGCACGTGCAAAATGGGTCCCAACTGACTTGTGCACGGCACCCTACTAACCGGTCTTTAACTGTGTACCAAATTTGAGCGCAATCGGTCGAGCCGTTCTCGAGATCTGAAAACGACCCCTGCACGTGCGCACGTGCAGCAGCAACCCAACTCTGGCACATGGATATGCAGTGCCTAGTGGGTGCCTACCTACATGCCAACTTTGAGCGCAATCGGCCAAGTAGTTACCGAGATATTGCAACAATTGCAAAACTGACACCTCTTCGTTTTGCACGTGGCACGTGCATAAGGGGTCACCCACATGCATCGGGAATAGTCCAATACTTGGTAGAAGGAATGAAGCTACCCTACAAAAATTACCGCATGTAAATCGGTCAAGTGGTTGCTGAGATATAAGCCTCGCAAAAGCGTCCGCACGGCCGGCCGGCCGCTCATACTCAGAAATTTCCGTTAATCTAAGTAAAGACTCCGCTCGCTTCGCTCGCTCCGTAATGAGACTCCGCTCGCTTCGCTCGCTCCGTAATAACTCCTGATAAGATACTGAACTAGACAAAATAAAAACTATATCTGTATATGCATCCATAATGTGAGATGAAACTTTCATGACTAACAGGTAAGTAGCTGTATTAGTAATTCAGCTGGCAATCTTTTAACGTAAACTCACTAAGTGACCAATAACATTCCTACAAAATCGAAAACTTATTATATTCTTTCGCTAAAAACTCTGATTTTTTCACTATATAATTTTCTACAATCTCCCGCTTAGCTACCGTGATTGGGAAGTGAGTATATCGCTTCACAGTCTTCAATACACTGCCCAGCAATACTATGAAAACCACGACTCGTCTTCACGTTTGGTCATTTGCCATTTGCGGCCATTTTGCGTTTGCTATTGGTCAGTTGCATCTTTCTCCGTCCAAGAGCAGGAGTCCAACTGATATTTCAGCTACTGACACACTCGTTGCCCGTCCCAGTGCTCAAGAAAGCCTTCGGCATGTTCGACCAGAAGAAGACGGGCTCGATCGAGGTCAACAAGGTGGCCGCCATCCTCAACACCATGGGCCAGCAGTTCGACGACGACGAGCTCCAGCAACTTTGCACCGAAAAGGCCAAAGGTCGGTCTGGCTCATAAGGCCGCCATGATGGACAGAACGGTGATTGATCACGAAGCTTAACCCTATTCCTGGCGGGGGGGGGCCTCAGGAGCCCCCCCCTGAGGTTTTTTGGTTATATCTCCCAAACGCGTTGAGCTAGGAAGCTCAAATTTTCTGACTTTTCTTAAAAGGCTTCTACGCAACATGTCTGAAAATTTTGAGTTGATCTGACCTCAGGTCAGGTCACCAGAGGCGGTTTGGTGACGCTACCTCAGAAAAGTTTGCAATCACGCCAGAGCTAGAGTTTTTGACCGATCAATTTCTTCTCTTCAGGGTTTAGTTAGGGTACCAGTATGTGCAATTTGTATATCTCGGAATTTTGATATCGGTGACCTAAGGTCAGGTCAATTTCGCGACCTCCCCATTATAAGTCAATGGGGGAAAAATCAACTCCCTGTTTTTACCACTAAAACGGGTCGGAATGGCCCCATTTACCATACATGACTTCATATACGATCAACCTTCACTACCTTGAGGTCTGTTTTGCTGTTGGGCAGCTGTGAGGTCATGTGACGTCATCAAAGGTCACCAAAGGTTTTTGGCCAATAACTCCGTACAGGAACAAGATACAGACGCGTGGATGGTCTCATTGTGTTCAGCTCGTCAAGACGCATCGAATGATATACATGATGACCTCGAGGTCACGTGACCTGAGGTCAACCTTTGACCTTGACCTTTCGAGGTCAACATATATATCATTCGATGCGGATTGACGAGAGGATCACGATGATGCCCTTAGTTTGTTCCTATCTTGACTAATTCGAAAGTTATTCGAGAAAAACTCTCTCCATATCTAGTGCCGCCATTTTGACTTTTTCGACCCCTGTGACGTCATCTTTGACCTGACCTGAAAATGACCTTTGTAAAAATTGTAGATCTTGGCCGTGCGTATCCGATGCCGTTTACCGCTTGTCGCTATCTTGCTTCGTTCTCGAGATCTCAGGGGGGGCCGAATCGGCCCCCCCCCGCCAGTTTCTTGTCCCGGCGGAGCCCGCCAGGAATAGGGTTAAGGTGTAGCTTTCATTAAACGGATATTGATATAGTTTTGATATTCAGATAATTTTGTGTCTTGAACCAAGTGAACGATTCAAACATGGCTGCACCATTCATTAATTACTTTCGGTATTATTGGTTACCTATTTAATGCGTATTTCACATCTCTTCAGCACAGTCGTCTGTTTTCAGACGGCAAGCTGGATTTTGACAGCTTCGTCAGCATCGCGTCCAACTTCCTCGAGGAGGAGGACGACGAGGCCATGCAGGCAGAGCTGAAGGAGGCCTTCCGGCTCTACGACAAGGAGGGTGAGCGCCGGACCGCACTTAGTAGCATCGGGTAACGCGCGCCGGACCGCACTTACGGCGTCGGCTAACGCCCGCCGAACCCCATTTACAGCCTCGGCTAACGCGCGCCGGACCCCATAGTGCAAACTGTCGTCATGCGAAAGATTTCCAGCATTGGTCTACAATCCATTTATATCTGGGAACTTCAAACTTTTACAAACGTTTACATTCAAACTCAAGAATAAAAGCGAAGAACCCGCCTTTGCTGAGGAGCAGACGTTGTGAATGCATTTGACACCGTTCTACATACTTGTCAGGCAACGGCTACATCACCACTCAGGTGCTGAAGGAGATCCTGAAGGCGTTGGACGACAAGCTTACCTCGGAGGACCTGGATGGCATCATTGAGGAGGTGGATACTGACGGTTCGGGCACCCTCGACTTCGATGGTACGTAAAATCGATTTAGGAGTCTGTGCATATTTATAGGTAGATGTGACGATTTTGAAGAAAGGAAGCACGTTCAGGACTGTGACCCAACGAAACCCTTTTCGAAAATATCGTTTTTTTTAAGAAAAAAAGTTTACATTTTGCTTTAAAGGTAGTGTGCCACCTTTGAAAGATTTCCCATTTTATTTTTCCTAGGATAAGAAGCTTCTGTTTTTACCTAATATCGCAAAAAAAATCAAAAATGGGCCTGGAATAGTGCCTTTTTCGCCTAAAAGTTTATCGGTTTTTAGATATGTATAACAACTGTAGTGGGCTCACCTGCAAACAGGCGTCGGGCAACAATCGCGAATGCGACGCACTTGTGACAATAAGCAAAGGTCATCATAGTGTTACGACCATACGACGTACGGGAATGAGTTATCAGCTGTCTAATCGTAGACAACACAATGTCGAGCCTTAAACTGTAAGCCCGTATTGGTATTGTTTCTTTTATTTGGCTGTCGAACATTATTTATGGTTTGAAATATGATTTTATGTAAAATAATTGATATGAAAAAGCCGTCTTATAAGTTATGACCCCATTTCACCACACGCAAGTGGCAGAAATGACAATGATCAGCTGACGCATTTTCTTGGCCGAAGTCAGAGCGCGCAGCCCGACGCACCACCACCGCACCACAAAGTATGAGCAGAAGCCGCGCCCAAAGCCAGGGCCCCGGTAACGTGAGGTAGCCGAGTCGGGGCAGCGTGCGCTGACCCAAGCCGGGGCCGCAGCTTTGGGCGCGGTCTACCGCATCCCCGCGGGCAGCCCCGGGCTATCACATGACACCGGGAGGACGCGCGGCCCCGGCTTGGGTCAGCGCACGCTGCCCCGACTCGGCTACCTCACGTTACCGGGGCCCTGGCTTTGGGCGCGGTGTACCGCACCACCTAACAGGCGTGTTCGAAACCGCAGGAGATGATGATGAACGGGTTTATCGAAACTTTTGGATGAGCATATCGGTAATAGCGATCTCAGTGTGTGCATTTATTGTTCATAGTGGTGTGAAATGTGGTTGGGGTACGACCGACAACCCGTCGGGGCGAATTTCGCACTGGGGTACTCAAAATTTGAAGAATTTAAGACGTTTCCATGAGTTTTGAAGGTAAGTAAGTTCTAAAAATCCGGTTCTCCTTATCTGGGCCATTAACTCCATACGGTCCAGGAAAGCTGGCACACTACCTTTAATATAGCTTGCCGTTGCTCTTTGAGTCAAACACTTACGGCAACTTTATTGTAATGATGTGTTGCAGGTTACTGTAGCATTACTTCCATATAATTCCTTTTTTTTCTATCATGAGTTACGTCCCATGCTACCTCGTGTCCATACCATGCTATAATCACCTCGTGGGATTTATCCAAAGTCTCCGTGTAAAACGGATTGGTTCAACAATATTCTGCTAATTATTTTCCTCTCTTTTTTAATGTTTGATTTGTCTTTCCGCTCAGCTCTTGGTTCCTGCTCCCTTTGCTCTCGTTCTTTCCATTTCCTTTTTTCCTAATGTATTTTCCTTCTGTAAATTAGTAGGCACATGACAGTGGATATCAATTCGTTTTTATTGATTGAATGGAACGATGCATCTGAGCAACTGACGCTATACTCCAACTGTTCCTACCGTGTTTTAAAATGTTTTGTCTAGTTATTATAATTTAGAATTACGTCATTTATCTCTATATTTTCATTTTCACCTCATTAGCTTTTATTAGCTCTTGGTTTCCATAAAGCCTTAGCATACTCGTAAAGCCTTAGCATATTAGCTAAAATTTAGTCAATTATAATGTCTTGGCTATTATAGATCAGTGATTTGGTGCAAGTTATAACTTTTTCGTTCCGAAATCGACTCATTTGATGATGTAAGCAGTGAGCGGTGAGCAGTGAGCTTTTGTGCCAACTCTCCACACCAAATTTGCTTGATTTAATCCCAGTTTGTGCCAATAAACATTATGATGATGATGATGATGATGATGTGATATAACGGTATTTTTTTCTTCTATCGATCTAGCCGAAATAGGCAAAGCATAGTCATAACTTGCACCAAGCCTCGATCCTAGTGGTTGCAGCTTTTTGGGTCCCTTCACTTTCATAGTTCTGTAGAAAAGTAAACATTGCCCACGTACACTGCCTGCCAGTTTGTGCCTGCCTGCCGTCACCGCTCTGCAGAACCAATGCGTTCCACCGGGGTTCTGCGCCACATCATGAGACCGTGTTGCGCTTTCAGAGTTCCTGGAAATGATGACTGGCTAGTTGCATCCTGCTATCGTTCACCATCGGTACGTCTGGACGGTCGCTGTATCACAGTATGCTGGAGGTGTCCACCGGCGTATGCACGCAACGTATCGCGTTGTAGTGGTTTGACGCCACATCTGATTATTTATTTTACGATTTGTGGTTGTAGGTAAACCAGTAAGACGCTTTTTGGGTCAACAAACGAGCGAGTGAGAGGATGAGGCGCGGAGTGCGAAGGTGTACCCTGTCCCTAACTAATAACCGGTATCTAACAGTGCACTGACTTAGAGCGCGATCGGCCCAGTCGTTCTTGAGGAAACGACTCCTGCAAGTGGGCACGTGCTAGACATGCCAATCTTACACCTTCTGACTTTTCGGTATACCAATGCTAACCCGATACCAATTTGGTATTTGGTATTTCTGATCTTACGTTTTCGATATTGTTGGTTTTCATGAAGCCTCACTGATGCATTAGATGTCCTAAATTTGGTAAAATGCTGGTATTTCTGTCAGTAACCCAACTTCGCCTGGTATAAAAATATGATTTATGACTAGCGATTTTACGACACAGAACAACGAGATAAGAAAAATCTTTGCTGCATTTACTTCCTCAACCTGTTTAACTTCATTACCTCCGCGGGTGGCACTAAATTGCTTGTTATTTTTCAGAATTCATGGAGATGATGGCCGGTGAATAGCCGTCCACAGGGAAACTATGATCGTCCGGTGACGTCACCAGCCTCATCTGACGTCATCACCAGAGACTCCGGGCGGTCGGGTGCTCGGAGCCTTTTGCAGTTTTTTTTTTTTCGCCAGCTCCGTTCCGGCCTCATACGCATCCCGGGGGGCAGCGGGGGTTATATCGCAAACGAAACAAAGTCGTGTTAAATCAAAATGCCGGGCATGAGAGCCAATCACCGCATTGTTGTTCAGTGTTGGGATTCATGAGAATTGCCATTGTGTTGTGATCAAATGGTAACTGACTTCATGTTTTGGTGAAATACAATGAAGTTCTTTAGGTAAATGCGATTATTTTGTAAAGCACGCAGACTACAATCGTCCCAGTCTGGGTGACACGAATTCAAAACGACTCCAGCCGATAGTCGCCTCAATAACAGCAAATAACGTAAAAAGGTAACCGTGGTAGGATGTCACAGCGCTAGTTCAACGCACACGAAAAGGTGCATCGTTTTCGCGTTGTCTTGATCTCACACCGATGTTGCATAATAAACCAGTGGGGTAGCGTATACACTGAAAACAATTCAACCCGCGTACAGCGAGTAAAACCCGCTGCTGGCGGGTACACCTACCCACCACCTAATTTGACACTCTACCAGCGGGTGCGTTTACCCGCATATCGCAGGCTGTCAACCCGAGTATATTGTGTACCTAACCCGCATAGGATGGGGACTCAACCCACACACAGAAGGCAACCTACCTGTTCGCAGCGGGTACACAATCCGCACATGGCGTATTACCTGCGCTGCGTGGGTTGGGAACTCGCTTTCTGCGAGTACAAATATCCGCTGGTAGGGTGTCCAAATCAGCTGGAGGGTAAAGTACCCTCCAGTGGCGGCGTTCAAGGAGGAAAACGCCGCCATCGCCGGGATTCGAACCCGATATCTTTGATATTACAAACCGATACGCTACCAACTGCGCCACAGGCGACCTAACGTAAAGCGACTGAAATGTCGGTGTATATCAGATTAAAATGAAGAACTGACGGCGGACCACTGAACTCTATAATGTGGAATGCGCATCGGCCGCCAAATGGTGTCCAACGAAGCCGCCATGTTGCGCAGACCAGAAAGCGGCCGCCGCCTGTGCTGGGGAATAGGGAATTCGGGACCTCGATTTACGTTTGCGGTCGCTGCATCCGTTACGTTCAAGCTATGTGGACACGGAACCCGGCATCTTACGCAGAATTGAGTGGAGAACAAGATGAAATCCTAAAAAATCATCAGCTATAAGGAACTAATACGTTAAACCCTTATAAGTCAATGGGGAAATATGAAAATTGTTATTTTGGCGCCGAGAATGATCTGAAACTATCTCAAGCATATAAAATCATGATTTCATGCACTCTTTGCAAGGTTCTATGCTTCATATTTTCATTGTTGCCCTTGCGTGACGTCATTTGTGACGTCACAAGGGTCACCATTTTTCTTCAATAACTCCCGATCAAATTGAGCTAGCGAGTCGGGAAAACCACCAATGGACTCAGGAACACCTGCCGAATCGAATGATATGCGACATGACCTCTTTCGACCAGCTTCGTGACCTGGGGGTGCTGACCTGACCTTGACCTGAGGTCAACACCCTAAGTTGACCTGACCCGAACAAAAAGTATATCACTCGATGCGCCTGAGCTAGCTGAACACTATGATGCCAAAATCGCGGCTCTACGGCCATTTTTGGCGAAGTTATTTACCAAAAACCGAACCCGTGCCTTAGATCACTTGACCTGACCTCAGAGGTCACCGGTTGACCTGAGACCCTTACAGCGGGTTCCTACCAGTCACTCTGCATTATACTTTGCCGCATACGACCACTTAAACGCTTAATTCTAGTTTAATTAGCGGTGCATTAGCGAGGTGGGTTCAATCAACCCCCTCGGCCGGGGCAAATGTAGGTCAGGCGAGTGAATTTGAGGAATTCTGAAGATACGATCGTGTTCCCCACTCAATTCTGCGTAAGACGCCGGGTTCCGTATCTACGTAACTTGAACGTAACGGATACGGCGGCCGCAAACGTAAATCGAGGTCCCGAATTCCCTATTCCTCAACACAGGCGGCAGCCGGTTTCTGGTCTGCGCAATATGGCCGCCACCGTTAGACACTACGGCCAATAGGGTTGAAGTGGCATTGCTCCCCTGTGCGGCGGACTCAATACAGAAAGTAAAAAGGCTTATCTTAGACAATTGACATGAATCCACCTATAGTGTTTTAAATATTAAGGAATAGTTTGGACAAATATTTCATTTGCACCGGGAAAGATTTATTTATCCAGGCTTATTTTTTACCAATAAAATGTGCTAAGAACGGTCTGGAAACTTCACCACAATGCGCCAGATTGGCGGACTGCAGAATATTCTGCTGAGCGTTCCAGCGAAATATTCTGCCGGCCAAGACGTGACGTCATCCAAACAATGATTCAAATGTCCCAAGCCCGTTAAGTACCCTCCTAACTCACAGAACGCAGCCCCACAGCTGTTACAGTTACGATTACAATTGCCTTGCACATCTCTACCCCTGCACAAGGCCTGCACAAGCACGCAGCCGAGCCGAAAAGCGACTATTGTGGCGCGTCACATTTCAACACTCGTTTGAGCGTCGAAGTCAAAAGTATTAATTTCAAAACCAATGCCGTGCATCAGTGGGATATCTGCCATGACACATGCGTGATCAAGGCAACCTGCGTATAGCATGTCACCTACCTTGGCGCAGCGAGTTACACGATGCAAAACCTGCGTGATGCGCTTACTCCGTGGGCGCGAGTAACGCCTGCGGCCACAACCCGCTGCGGACGAGTGATTGACCCCGCCAGAGGAGGTTTCATGTATCCGCGCATGACGGGTTGCTGTTTTACCCGAGTATAGCGGGCGTTGACACCCGTGAAGCGGGTGAAAGCTACGATGATAACGGGATGCGCGGCGAAACGCGGGAAGCTAAACGGGTAGTCAGCCTACCCGGCAGCAAAAACTCGCGCAGAGCGGGTAATTTCTTCAAAATACCCGCGATACCCGGGCCAACTCGCAATCCGCGGGTTGAATTGTTTTCAGTGTACATAAGTGCAATGCGAGCCGTAATTTATGCACGGGTCGAGCAATTTTCACACTCAACGACCTATGTACCTATTCTGAAGAATATTAAAATTCATAGGCCTATTTATGTGCCTGCCTGCACACGGCACAGAATACTGATGCTGTGTTACAGCCCGCAGCACAATGTCGTTCATATTCCAACTGATAGGTATATTTCCATTCACGCAATGCCTGATGCATGCTATGAAACAGTAAAATGTAATTCATATTCCCGCCAATAGATGTCATTTGCCTAACGCCTGACGTATGCTGTGCCGCAGCGCACTGTAGCTCATACTCCAGCCGATAGGTGGCACTCATTTGTCCCTTTAACGCCTGACGCATGCTGTACCGCAGTACAATGTAGCTCATATTCCAGCCGGTAGATGGCACTCACTGAACGCCTGATGCATGCTGTGCCGCAGTACAATGTAGTTAGTTTATATTCTAGCCGGTAGATGGCACTCACTGAACGCCTGATGCATGCTGTGCCGCAGTACAATGTAGTTAGTTTATATTCTAGCCGGTAGATGTCACTCACTGAACTCCTGATGCATGCTGTGCCGCAGCGCACTGTAGTTCATACTCCAGCCGGTAGATGTCACTCAGTTTACGCCTGATGCATGCTGTGCCGCAGTACAACATAGTTCATATTCCAGTCGGTAATGTCCCTCACCTAACGCTTGGTGCATGCCGCGCTGCAGTATGACCTGCAGTTATATGCTGCTACCTATCCGCCTGCTAAGCACGAAGGTCCAGCGACGCTACTCGGCAATTCAAATCTCGCAGACCCGTCTCATATAGTCTTTCGTGATTTTCGCTTCATCCAGCGGATGAAGCTCCACTGCATAGCACCCCGTTTCGATGCCGTTTGATGCTGGTGCGGTGTGATAACTGATACAACACTCGCATAGCGTATGGTGGGCACTGGGCTGCACCATTCCATTTTCCGCAGTATCGTACCATTGCCGTCCTCACTAGTACTACCATCGACCTTATATTTAGAGGTTTACCTATCGGTGATTGAGGCCGGCAGAAATAACTACGAGTATATGTAACAGCGTTACGGCACGCCGCCTAGTCACCACGAGTCACGTCCAGTAGACTGCGGCATTACCTGGGTCGGCGTCTGTTGTCGGTGGCACCCGCGTCCCTCTCAAAGCATTAGGTACGGCTACTGTTATCCCAGACTGGAGCAGTGTTCGCCACGGGCCGCAAAATCCCAGTCCAGCCCAGCCCAGGCCCATTGGTTCACAGCCCGGCCCAGCCCGAGCCCATTCATGGTAAAAGCGTCAAAGCCCAGCCCGGCCCAGCCTGTCAAAAATGAATAGATTAAAATTATTGACACCACACAAGTACCCAAAGGAACAATGTTTTGCTAGCAGCATGGACAATGCACATTGCATGCGTGCTTTATAAACTCGTTTTTAAGTCTTGCACAGTAATAAACTATATAGTTAAAGTTTTTGTCTCAGTTGCAAGCCCCTGACTCCACTTAACAGTTTTTGGCCCAGCCCATCCACAGCCCATTGATCCTTCATATTTGAGGGCCCAGCCCAGCCCGTAGCCCAGCCCAGCCCATGGCCCATTGGGCTGGCCCAGCCCATGGCGAACACTGGACTGGAGCTTTTAAAAACGTCAGCTGTTATGGCATTACCTTAGAAATAATGCCACGCAACATCATTTTATGCAATGCGTTCCCAGCAGCCAAAGGTGACAAGATTGACCGGATTTGTAGCTAAGGCCAGTTTAAGCATCTTTAGGGATGCATGATGCTTCGATCGTGAGCCGGCACCAATCAACTAGACTGCAGGGTTCCACCGCCGGTTCGTGTGACCCCACTCCAGCAGAGTCGTCAGTACGGTAGCGCACCCCGCTCTCCGCGGACGGAGCGCGCCCCTCAGAGGCCGCTGGCAGACTGGTGTCCCGGTGAGACGCCCCGTTCCCCGGTAGTGTCTCGCTCTCCACAGAGGCCGCTGGCAGGCTGGTGTCTCGGCGGGACGCCCTGTTCCCCGGTAGTGCACCCCGCTCTCCACAGACGGAGCGCGCCCCTCAGAGTCCGCTGGCAGGCTGGTGTCCCGGCGGGACGAGTATATTAGACAGAGCCGCCGCGGAGCGCGCGCTCGCCGCTCCCGCGCGGCCGTTCAGAGCGAGGTTAGTACCGCGCGCCGCCATTGAGCAACACTGCGCGCGCCGCGAGCACGGGCCCACACTGGCGGATCGGCTACCCGCCGGGCGTCCCACCCGGCGGCCAAACCGTCACACGCCCGCTCCAAGTCATATCACATTGAGCCGGCGGCAGTTCGCCGCGCAGGCTCCCGATCGCAGCGACACACTCACGGGAAATGGTTCTCAGTCACACACACATACACACACCGGCGGTCTCCCAGTCACACGATCTGGCACATTGGCTCCAGCTCCGAGATCCTGCTCGCACGTGCAGCACACTCGATAGCAAACCTCCGACATTGCACCTTCGACAACACAATAGCAGCAACAGAAAGGCAGGCCGCGCTCCGCGCTATATATATAAAAAACGCGCTCTGGAAAATACAAGTGCCCACTGGGACGGCGCACGCGCGCGGCATTGTATCGAGCAAAAATACCACCGCTCGAAATTCGCGGAAAATGTTCGTCTCTTGCCGGGGAGTAAGTAAATGCCCTCGCTGTGGAATGTTGTAGCTGGTCAGCCGGGAGCCACTATCACGGGCACCGGCGCCGGGTCGGGTCGGGTCGGGTCGGGTCGGGTTGATCGGCACGGCGGACTGAGCGGTGACGAGGGAGGGCGGGTCGGGGCCGCCGCCGTCCCAGCCGTCTAGGACGAGGCGTAGTACCAGGTGGGCTCGCCGGTATCGGTACGCTGGTAGTCGACGCTCTGTGGGACAGGGTGGAGAGGGGTCAGACAATGAACTGGATGTAGTGGGTGGGTGGTGAGTGCATGACGTATGTGACAAACATGGACCGGAAGATGAACGAAAAAAGAATGGCAAACACATGCGACAAGTGAAAATAGCAAGAGTGTTGAACATATTCATACCAATTGACGATCAGGGCAGAAAAATTAGCAAAATAAAACGTTCCTCTTAGTTTTCCTGTTACACACCACGTATCTCCTCAATCCCTACTTTCTTCAGCCGTCTGGTCCCTACCCTCCCCCTCCCCAAACGTCTACCCTCTCCCTCTCCACCACCTGACTCCTACCCTCCGAGCTGTCTGCCCTCCCCTCCCCGCTGCCTGACCTGCATGTGGCTGGTGGACGTCCTGCCGAGCTGTGCCAGCCGCAGCAGGTGGCAGCGCCGGCAGAGCAGCGCCTCGTCCAGCGGGTAGCAGCGCTGCTCGGGCTCGTCCGTCAGCTGCAGGCCGCACATCTCGCAGATGTAGCAGTCCACGTGGAAGTCGCGGTCCATGCTCACCACGCGAACAGTCTCCTCCGTGCCCTCCACCGGCGTGATGCTCTTACCGCAGGCGGCGCACTTGGGCGCAAACATCCTGTCAAAAGCGCGTGGGGAATGTTAATCGCGGAATAGTGATGATGATGGTTTGGGTTCCTTTCGCTAAGTACTCGGTGAACACTGAACGGACATCATCAGCATTGCTCTCTACATCATGACACAAACAGGTCTGAGCCACCAATAGACATAGTAAAATACCGCATCACACCCGAAATTATTTGGGTTCTAGAGCATGACACATCGCACACAAACATTGTTCACCATCCACAATGCCATTCCATGACCCAGTTTTGGACCAGTATGTTTTGCGAACCCTCTGAGGAGGCTCGTCCATTCTGCGAACCCTCCCTGGACCCATCCAGGTCGGCCCTCCGACTCGCCTGTGGTAGTCGTTGACGCAGTAGATCTTGTTGTCGACGTCGATGGTGAACGGTACGCCATCCAGACACTCGTTGCAGACGCAGCAGCGGAAGCAGCCTGGGTGGTACGATTTGCCCATCGCGTGCAGAATCTGACCGTGAGAAGGGTGGAAACAGCACGTGTCGGTGAGGGGAAACAGTAATCGCCACGCACTTTCAGAATAAGGATCGCTCATGATTGTTCAATACAATACAAAAAAACAGCGGATGAATACAGAGAACGGACACGCGGTAATGATTTCCGTCCCTCTCCTCTAACAGTAACTAGACAGACTAGAGCACAATTCACGCTGCCAGAACGCCTCCAGTCTATAACGTTACACACTACTGACTAGTGACAACCAGCATGTGCGCTGTAGTGACCGTCTGATTACGGACACCACTGGGCAGTACTGACCATTTCCATGATGAGGTGCCCGCAGATTGCGCACTTCTCGGCTGTCTGCTGGAAGCCAGAGTACTGGCGGCGGAAAGACAGAAGGGGGACGGCACGTCAGTCAACGATAAACGTGGAAAGAGCTGAACAAAAGAAAGGACGATTTAGGGCATTGAGTCGACTCGAACTGAATTTCTTAGTCATGAGATCTACATATTCTGCATATCTTCTGTGGGTATTTGACAATCGCTCCGCAATTCACTTATTTCACTCATATCACAACAAGCTGATGGGAAAAGGCAGCTGTAGCTTCACATCAAGATACAGACGTGCATTTTATCTTTCTTCCAACCAACTTTTTTTCACCGGCACAAGCTACCCTATTCTGCACCTATCCACACAACAGTCGTGAGTTCCTCCCCAAACGGTCATCCCACTCCATCAATCGCCACCCCGCTCTCCCTTCTACCCTGGTCTCTCACCAAGTAATCCTCCTCGCAGTAGACCTTGCCGTGCACATTGTAGAAGGCCCGGCCGCGCAGCGCCCGGCCACAGGAGCAGCACACAAAGCAGTTGGTGTGGTACAGATTGCCCATGGCCTGGCAGGCCTGGCCGGCGCCTGTCACCTTTTCGCCACACGTGTAGCACATACCTGGGGAGGGGAGGGGACGGTCAGAGGATAGAGGACTCGGCCGACCGAGCAGCGGGGGAGGATCGCAGAGGGAACGGACAGAGACGACAGAGCGAGGGATGAAGGCAGCATTGTGAACCTTTGAGGCGGGTGTGATGGGAAGGACGCGTCACGAGACGATGAAAAACTAGAATGGACAAGTCGATGGCATAAGTAGATTACTCCAATTAAATAAAGTAAGCACATCTAAATATATCGAGCTAGCTTGTGACTAGTGCTGTGATTGCAAGAGTTAATGACAAAGGTTTATTACAGCAGCCTACTATAGCTAGTTCGATAGTGGGTATAGTTGCGAGAGCCGACACCCCCTGACGGATTAAATGGACCAGCAAACAAAGACCGCGCTATCGGCAGGTGGCAGGTATGCACACAAACCCGTGATAGCGCGGCGATAGGCAGTGTGCACCACTCACCAACCAGCCGAGGTCCCTCTGACTAGGGACCAGCAGCGGCCGGCACCACGGGTTTGGCACAGCTTCAGATCGGAGCGGATGGGGCGGTTCAGGAATACAGACTGGGATACTGGAATGACGAAGATGGGTCGGTGAGGATACGGCAGAGCAAGGTGTACAACTGATGGTGACGAATGACGATGTCTAACAACAATGGTATTATGATCTGGCAATCCTGTCATGAAGGATTAAAATGAAAAGGACTAATGACTATCAACATGGATGATACAAAAGACTTGACAAGGAAAAAGCCTTCAATGGTTTTCTAATGAACAGTAAAAACATTTTCTTTCTTTGAGACGTCATGATGCAAGTGTTAAGACGACGCACTACTATAAGGATATCAAGCGGACTGTGTCCCCGTTCTAACTATTCCACCCAGCTCGGTGACCGACTCACCAAAGTACTCGCCCTCCTCTTCCCCTCCCTCCAGCTCTTCCTCCAGCTGCCGGGTGAGCTCATCCAGCTTCTTTTCCGCCTCCGAGGGACCCTGCACACACAGGGAGCGACTCAGTTAACGGGAGGTGGAAGGGACAGTACAGCCATAGAATATCGCGGTCTATGGTACCAGCTTATCTCTGCTGAAAGTATTGAACGAATCGTCAGCGAGCTAATTTCATAACGGCAATAGGAAACATTAAACCCGAGCCAACTACTCGAGGGTTCTGAATTTCGGCGGCCTGTCCCGGAGACTGTGGCTGATCGTTTTCCTCCATGTCGACAAGTCGTTTGAACAGGATCGTGAAGGCGCTGCCCCAGATGCCCTGCAGACAGTGCAGCGGGTACTCGGGAAACGGCTTGGCGATTTTACCCTTGAAGTAGCGGCTGCCGAATTTGCTGGCGTCCGCGAAAATGCCATATTTCGGAATTCCAACTTCGAACGGCGTGAACTCGACACGTGAACGGCTGAGCTCGCAGTGTCCCAAAATTTGTCAATTTGGGTGGAACAAGACATCCAAATGAAAATAATTTTCCACTCCCACCTCCAACTTTCAAGAGCAATTTACCACTCATGAAAGAGCATCTGCTTGCATGATCGCATCAGATTCTACCATTGTACAGAAAAGTGTGCAATTTTTCCTTCTTCTGTTCTTTATTTTCGGGGGGGGGGGGGGCTAACCTGATCAAGAATATACCACCCTCATCCCTTTTTTTTAGAGGAATTTTCCCCTCTAACACCCAAGCATTAATAAAATTTTGTGACACTGTGAGCTCGACATGTGAAGGGCGTGAACTCGACACGTGAACGGCGTGAACTCAACTACTCGACTGAAAACCAGTGCAGCTGTCTGGTTATGTCTGTAATCTACAGCCGTCAACCAACGTGCCAGTTGAGGACTAATCACAGATACAAGTGGCGTGCCATCAAAAACACTCGAAAAGGTAGTCGTCTTTTTATCAGATATTGAATATTCAAGAGCAGATATATTGCTTTATAATAGGTATGCAAAGCAGAAACGTTTCTTGGCCACAGCAAAGCTTGGTCCTGTCATAGTTAGTACGTTTGCCGCACACCTAGCCCAAAAACAGTGCTAACACCCAGACCCAGAGTACATCCCTTGAAGATGTATCAACGCTCCTGACCTGCGACTTGGGCGGCGTGACCTGGTAGGGCAGCAGGCCGCTGCGGCCGGCCGGGCTCTCGGTGCGCGCGCCGGGGCCGGGCGGCAGGTTGGCGTAGGTGGGCGGGTCGCCGCGGCCGGCCGGCGCCTGCTGCGGCTGCGGCTCGGCGCGGCGCTGACCGGGGTACGGCGGCGGAGGCGTGGACACCGCCGGTACCTGGGACACCGGCTGAGACGACTCACGCATGTACACCTGGCGGAGATGGTGGCGCAATGGTCAGACACGGGCTTCCGAGCAAAGACCGGCAATAATTCAGTTCCCAAACCACATGACATCAATCAATCAAGAAGACAAGACATCAATTACCAAAAGCCTACTACCATTCGAAACATTGTCATTTCAAATTAATTGAAAACAGATGGAAATAGCCACTGTGCAAAACCAATCGTCAAACGATTCTGTTAGCTCGCAGCAGCCTCACCTTCCCAGAGTTGGCTCCGACGTTTTCGTAGAGCGGCGGCCGCTGCTGTTGCTGTTGTTGTTGTTGCTGCCTCTGCTGCTGCTGCTGCTGCTGGAGCAGCTGCAGGTACCGGTCGCCGGCTGCCGAGCCCTCCCGCCCCGGCTGGTAGGTGTCGGTCAGCGCGCCGGGCGCGTACCGCTCCTGCGGCGCCGCCAGCCGCGGCCGGCCGGCGTCCACCGTCACTGGCGAGTGGCAGTCGAGCGGCGGCGCCGGCCGGCCCTGCGTCTGGTACAGCTCGGCCGCCGGTGTGGAGCGCGCCGAGCCCGACTGGTACGGCTCACCGGTGGGAGTGGCGCGGCTGAGAGACGCGGTCGCCGGACGCGACATGGGCGATACCGAGTACGGCTCGGGGAACGAGCCGGCGCCGCTGGCCGCCGCCGAGTACGGCTGGTGCACCGGCGTGCCGCGCGACGTCGGCGTCACTGCGTACGGGTCGGGCAGCGAGGTCGGCAGGGGGGAGGAGGACGAATAGGCCGCCACGGTGGCCGGCAGCGCGCCGCGCGAGCCGCCCAGACCGGCCGTGTAGCCGTCCAGACCGATCGAGCCGCGCGGCTGACCGCCGTACGGGTCCGCCGGCGCGCCGGCCCGGCCGCCAGCAGTCGCGTACGAGTCGGAGCGGGCTGGCGGCGGCGCGGCGGCGGCCGACACAACACCGTACGGGTCGGTGCGCGGGTACGACTCCTGCGAGCTGAGGCTGGAGCGACGCGAGCCGTCCGGCGGCCGCGGCCGGCCGGCCACGTTCTCGTAGATCACCCCCTCGTGGCTGCCGCCGCTGACCGAGCTGCGCGGACTCGACTGGATGGAGGCCACGGCTGTGGGCGCGCCGTGGATGTAGGGCGGCGGCGGCTCGTAGGGCGCGCGGCCGGCGTACAGGCCGCCGCCGGTCACCGGCGCCGCGGTGGCCGCCGCACTACCACCGGCCTGCTTCTGGCGCATGTGGGCGCTATAATTGGGCGGCGGCGGCGGCGTGGCGGCGCCGTTCGAGTAGGTGTCGAGCTGTTTGGGCGTGGCGTACCGGCTGGCGGCGATGACGCTCTGGCGGCTGACGGTGAACACGGGCGTGGCGGCGGTGGCGGCGCCGCTGGCCGCCGAGGAGGTGCCGCCGCCAGCGTCCACTCCCGGCTTCTGTCCCGTGTCCAGGGTGCCCGTCCGAGAGCTGGACAGGCTGTAGCTGAGCGGGCCGGAGCCCAGTCGGCCGGCAGCGCCGCCGGCGCCGGCTCCGTTGGCCGTGGGCGAGGTGGCCGATCCGCCGCGGCCGGCCGCCGACTGCTGACCGCCCGCCTTCAGCCGGGACATCTCCTGCATCAGCTTGATCGTGGTTCGGTCCATGGCTAAAGCGGCCGCCGCCGGCTGTCGAAGCAAGGCACAACCCAGATCAGCATAAAACACAAATAACAGTCACATAGGTATGCCGGATATTGACCTATATTGACTGAAAAGGTGTGATAAGATGTGATTATTCTATGCTGATGCTAGTCACCAATAAGCCATTTCCTGAATAACGTTTAAACACATAAATATGAACTACTAAGGTAGCATAATTTACCAGCCTTTCCACCACCTTTACATGTAGTTGCTCATATTTTCATGAAACCAATTTACACAAAATCTCATGCTATAAGGCATCAAATAATTTACATTTAACCATGAAATGTTAACCATGAAATGAAACCATGTTATGCCATGAAACTGCTTTTGTCACATATGGCAGTTTTATTAAATGACAGCATCCCATTGAGGATACCATTGAGAGTTAGATTTGTCCATATTAGGTGATTAATAACCTTCAAAGTTCAAGGTATCTAAAATTCAGCCAGAAATTGAAATTAAGACAGAACAATTGTAGAGGATGAGTATACAAAGTGACCATAAGTAGGCAGATATACATAATATATTGTCTGGCATAATTTACATTTTGTCATGTGTATAATAATGGAAACAAATTGACCAATGACCATATTGTCATGAGTATAATGGAGAAAATTTATCTTCAGGCAACAGCCAGGTTCTATCTGGTGTTGTGGTGAGGGTGATGTGTGGTTGTCTACCAATTTAATAATAGATTACTTGGCCTCAGCCATACAATAATACCTAATGACAGTCACATGCATCTCAGACTTTCTGTTGAGGAAGCAGAGAAATTGTGATTTCATTGTTGGAGCACGGCAGGTAGTTGTACTGCCCCAATGCTTAAGTTATTTGTGTAACAATACTAGGTTTCAGTATTAAGGACTGGCTTTAGTACAAGAGCCAGGACATATTCCTTCTGATAACTACTGATTCAAAGCCAGTCACTCAGTGCAATATTATGCTTCAATATGAAACAAACCTTGCCAAATTCATTCAATGTACTTGCCTGCCAAATAAAAGCTAAAGTGACATGAGAATCAGAATAATTTGAAACTTTGAACAAGGGTTGGCAAAACTGTAAATATTAATAAATTATTATGGGTATGGCATTGAAGATCAATGGCTACAGCAGTGTTGTTGATTTCTAAAGAAAGGCAAGCTAAGGTGTGAGTCGTGAGATAGGTGTGACAAAGTGTGATACCATTATCTCACCATTGTGATGTAAGCAGATGACATACTAATGCCAACAACATTCATGCAAGTTCAAATAAGTTTCTTAATCTGGTAAGAAAAATAAAGAAATGACTGGTAGCATGTTTGGATATTGCATGCATAACTTTTCCAAGTTATTTTGCCCAAAGTGGCAGTAGGTTATTCAAATTAAATACAGGTAGCTCCTTCAATAAATCTGTGAAGGAAATCAGGAGGAAAGTGTGTCGTATGCGGACATAGTCAAGCAACTCACCGACAAGCTAGAGAAAGAAAACACATCCAAACCAACTGAACAGACCAAAGAGCTACGAAGTACATTTGTAGACTGTCTCGAACAAGACAAGAGAAGGCGAAACATCGTGGTCTTCAATGTACCTGAGCAAAACATTGAACTTCCCTTGGACGAACAAGCTTCCAAAGACCTTGATAATGTGAAGGAGCTTATGAAGCAGGGATTAAAGATGATAATCCATCCAGAGAAGGTGGTTCGAGTTGGAAGGCGCAAGGAAGACAAAGATAGGCTCATAGTAGTAACACTTCGGGACGAGGGCGAGAAATGGGAACTGCTGAAGATGGCGAAGAAACTTCGAAATGCAGGAAGCAGGTTTGAAAAAATATACATAGCTCCAGATCTGTCACCAGCTGAGCAATTAAGGGATAAGAATCTTAGAAAACAGTTGAAAGAACGCAGGGAAGCAGGTGAAGATGTGATAATTCACAAGAACAGAGTCATCAGAAGGGAAGATAGACCTGGTCTAAGGTCATCCAGCACTGTATCATACTGACATGATCCGGGAAGAAGAGTTGTGAAAAGGAAAATGACAGACTCATCAGCTAGAAGGCTCAAGGTTTATTACACAAATGCGGACCAATTGCTGAATAAGATGACTGATCTAAAAGTGCATATTCACGAACGCGAACCTGATGTCATAATTGTTACAGAGGCTATTCCCAAAGCACAGGCAAACCCCATACCACAAGTATGTCTTCATGTAGACGGATATACAGAACACCTCAACTTTGACTGTGATCTCTGTGGGCAAGCTCCTCAGGGGCGAGGTATAGTCATCTACGTTAAGGATTACCTTGAAGCCCAAGCAGTGAAAAGCTTTGGGTTTTACCGGGACCAGCTCTGGGTGAAGATTCTGATTGGCCAACATGATTATGCATTGCTCGGTGCACTTTACCGGAGTCCGTCACTGACATTAAATGAATCTGTTCCAGCAATTGTATCAATTATGAAGGAAGCTGTCAAAATGAATCCTCCGTGCTTGATACTGTGCGGAGACTTTAACATCAGAGATATTGATTGGAGGTGTGAGAGGAGCCTCCCAGGAGCTCCCCCTGACGTGGAAGCCTTCCTTCAGGGCATCAGGGACTGCCTCCTTTTCCAGCACATCCTTGAGCCTACAAGGTACAGGCAAGGCCAGACTCCACAAATATTAGATTTGGTTTTTACAAACGAGGAAGACATAATTCAAGATGTGAAATTCCTTCCGGGACTTGGACAAAGTGATCACATTTCTATTCACTTTTCAGCAGTTTGTCAAAAGCCTGAGACACGGGAACATAAACACTTCTACCAAGACTGGAAGCATGCGGACTTCAACAGGATTAATGCTAGACTACAATGTTACAAACTTGATGAGAAGATATCTATGCAAACCGTACAGCAGGCATGGGGTACAATAACTGAAGCTATAAGAAACATCATCCAGGATGAAGTTAAAATAAAACGTAGAAGAAAGAAGCTTCAATCATATATGAACCAAGAGGCTCTTTCTCTCCGTAGAAAGAAAGAGAGGTTATGGGAAAAATATTGTATTACCAGACAAGACTCTGACTTCAGAAATTTTGCCAAACTCAGGAACCAGCTAAGAACATTGACAAGGAAGCTTAAGTTTGAGATGGAAAACAAAATAGTAAGCGCCATGAAAACCAACAAGAAGTCCTTCTGGAAATATGTGAACAAGTCTCTAAAGGTTAAACCTTCTGTAGAGACACTGAAACTGGACGATGGGAGAATTGCTCAAACAGACCGACAAAAATGTGAAGCCTTGAATGCATTCTTCCAAAGTGTGTACACAAAGGAGAACCTGCAGGACATGCCAACACTAGACACCAGACCATATGGGAGTGTCCTTGAAGACATCAATATTAAAAGTGAAGACATCAAGAAGAGGCTAGAAGATCTGAAACCGGGCAAGGCCTCCGGTATTGATGGAATTCATTCCCAATTCCTGAAGGGAACTGCACAAGCTCTATGTAAACCTTTTAGGATATTATTCCAAAAGTCACTCGACTCGGGACAACTGCCAAACGACTGGAAAATGGCTCTGGTTAAACCAATATTTAAGAAAGGAGACCGCCACGAAGTTGGTAACTATAGACCCGTAAGCCTTACGAGTGTTGTTTCAAAGGTCATGGAGGGTATTGTAAAACAAGCTATAATGGCACACCTGCTAGATCAATCACTACTCTCAGATTTTCAATATGGTTTTGTCCCAGGGAAGTCGTGTGAATCACAGTTGTTGTCTTGTATGAATCTGTGGACAAAGTATCTAGAACAAGGTCAGCCAGTAGACGTCATTTACACTGATTTCAAGAAAGCCTTTGACGCGGTCCCGCACCAACGACTATTGAAGAAGCTTGGTGCGTATGGGCTAGGACCAAAAGTCGTTAAATGGCTCGAAGGGTTTCTCTGTGGAAGAAAACAAAGTGTCTCTGTGAACGGTATTATGTCTGATTGGGTGGACGTCACAAGTGGAATCCCACAAGGTACTGTACTGGGACCTTTGTGTTTCCTGCTCTATATAAACGACTTGCCTGAGGTGATGGAATCAAGCACCATTCGATTGTTTGCAGACGATGCAAAGATTTTCCACCCAGTTACTTCTTACCAGGACAGTAGGAACCTACAGCTGGACCTTGATAACATCCTGGCATGGACACAATACTGGCAGCTACCATTGAATCTCGACAAGTGCTCAGTAATGCATCTCGGGCCAAAAAACCCACTTCATAAGTATACACTGGGCCAAGTGCAACTCAGGGAAAGCACTTCTGAGAGAGATTTAGGGGTAACGATGGATAACGATTTGAAGTTCCATGTGCATGCTGCAAGAGTCGCAAAGAAGTGCAAGATGCTTCATGCAATTATCAAGCGGAGTTTCACTTACTTGAACAAGGACATGATTTCTAAATTGTATCGAACACTAATACGACCTGTACTTGAGTATGGCAACTGTGTGTGGGGACCTACCTTCAAAGGAGACCAAGACTTACTGGAGAAAACGCAGAGACGATTCACAAAAATGGTCCCAGGTTTGAGCAATGTCCCATACCAAGAAAGGCTGACAGAACTGAACTTACCTACACTCAAGTACAGAAGAACGCGCGGTGACCTAATAACATTGTATAAACTTATTACTGGGAAACTCAAGACGGAAGCTGATATGTTGCAATTTAAACCAGAAGCAAGACATACAAGAGGACACACGTTACGGATCGCAAAAGTTAGTGTAAAGAAACGAGTAAGAAGGTCTTTCCTCACACATCGGGCATGTAACTTATGGAATAGCCTTCCAGAGAAAATTGTGAGGTCAAAATCAACTTTGCTGTTTAAAAGAAGAGTGGACGAGTTTTTGAAGAGTGAGAGGCTTAAATTGGAGTAAACGCCACCGAATCGAGGAACTGGATGACAAGCATTATAACCTTGAATTATCCCACGATCATCCTCACCCAGACCTGCCATATACCCACTCAATCAGTAAGGAGTAATGGAAGTTACAGGCAGTACGCCTTCTTCCGCATATACAAGACTTCAAGACTTCAAGACTTCAAGACTTCAAGTGAATCCTCAGAACAAAGACAGTACTTAATTTGGCTGAGTTTACACAATGAAGGGAGATACTGCACACTCCACATGGAGAGCAGGAGAGTAGCTGGGTTACATGAATTTGGTAAATGTGAAGATGAAGAATGAGTAGATAAAAATGCAATTTAGCCTGACCAAACCTTACAACTAAGTACTAACCTAACATTCAACCTATACCAGCCTACAACCTACAGTCTACACTCTACAGTCTACACACCTACAAAGTACAACCTAACAACCTACCAGCACAAATACCACACGGACATCATTTTGCCATGGTCGAACCAACTTTTGCTATATCCACACACCAAAATACCTAGCAAAACACTTATGTGAAAAATAATATCAGACAGCCTTGCTGATATAATTTCACATCAGCATTTGATTAGTAATGGCTTAGTCTTTGTATATTTTTTAATGTATAATAACACCCACAGCCTGAGTCAGCACAATTGTGTTAGCAAAATTGGGCTAGAGTCCGAAACTTCACATCCGTCAAGCACAAGTAAAAAGTTCCAGTGGCTACTCACTCATCTTGTTCTATTTAATCTCTGTAAATCAAATGCTTAAAATTATTATGGTTTAGATATATTTCAAAACAGCAGTAGAGACAAGCAGCATTCAATTATTAAAGCTGATGGTGAGCGGTACGCTGTACAGTACAGTCACAGCGTGATGACCCAGCACCATTCGCGGTGCCCCATATCTAGCAGCATAAGCTCCAATGTGTGTGAAAAAAGTATCCGAAAAATGTATCCGTGATACAGATGACTACTTTTGTTATCATAAGTATAAGTTTTTCAGTATTTTTTATCTTAGACCAATATACACCAGCCTCAAAATACCACCATACCATGGAGGAAGTCTGGAGTCCATAAGCCCGGAAACACACTCTGATCAAAGGAAAATTTGACTAAAAACATGAAAAACAAAAAATAGCATACAAAATAGCAACAAAAAATATATAACAAGAGAAATCTCACCAATATTCAAACTCTATCAACGGCGTGTCAACTATGCATCGCGCGGTAGCGAAATAGAAGGACGACGGTGAAAACAGGGCGCCTGGGGCGATTTGATCAAGGTTCGTTAAATTTACACGTGACGTTTGGGATATAGAAGGCCCATAAAGCGGGAGAAGTTCCAAATGTCACGTGACTAATATGCCCTCCGGCGCCCTGTTTTCACCGGCGTCCAAATAGAAGAAAACAAAACAAACAAAATTATCACCGATTACGGCGCACTACCGACACTCCCCTCTTAGTGCTGGGCAATGAGGATCGAAGGTACTGCGAAGATTGGTACTTGGATACCACCTTTTATTTAGGGCCTTGTCACCTATATTCGGTAATGTATTCGGTACAATGCGTAACATTTCAAGAATAATCGGTCAAGAGGATACAGGCATTTCAAGAAATGCGTTGTAAAATCGAGTAGAATGCATTTCATTGAAAATCATCGAAGCGGAAATGTTCATCGAACACACCCTATTGCACCGTCAGGTCACAGAGAGTCACAGACACAGAGTCAGGTCACTGAGGGTCACAATATGAAAATATCATGTGAATCAGTTGCGGATCCAGGGGGCAAAATGGGCATTTGCCCCCCCCCCTAAAACGGCATAATTTTAACATTACGCCTATGGACGATGCATGGAAAGAATCGATAAATTGTTATGGATTGCCCCCCCCCAAAAAAAAAAAACTCTGAGCTGGATCCGCCTCTGATGTGAATTTGATGTGATGCATGTTTAATGGTCCATTTTATATGCCAAATGCGATTATGTGGGTCAGGCAGCCTTTGGGGCCAGTTTAGATCATGTTCTGGTTAAGGTCAGGTCAAGGTCATGTTAAGGTCAGGTCAAATTAGGGTCAAATTTCAAAGTCAATATTTTTACATATAATGGGTATCGGTTCGATGCAGCTCCTCACGGGGAGTTTAATGGTGGTCTTTGTTTTGCGCTACGCGGTCTAGATCAATTGCTAAAAAAATTGAATTAAAAAATTTGACGTCATTAATTTTGAACAGTGTTCATTCGCTATTACTTGGCCAAAAAAGGAGGTACCGATCTAAAATTCGGTATGCATATAGAAGAGCGCAGCAGGGGCGGATCCAAGGGGGGGGGGTCACATGGGTCATGGCCCCCCCCCTTGAGGCCCGGGGGCCCAAAGACCTGCCAGGGGCACCACCGGCCTATCAGGGGTATCACAGTCCTGACAGGGGCACCACAGGACCGCAAGGGGCACCACAGGCCTAGCAGGGACACCACGGGCCTGGTGCCCCTGGGCCCTGACAGGACTGTAACGCCCCTGACAAGCCTGAAGTGTCCCCGGTAGGCACGTGGTGCCCCTGACAGGCCTGAGGCGTCCCTGCAAGGGCGGTGGTGCCCCTGGCAGGCCTGTGGTGTCCATGGCAGGCCTGTGGTGCCCTTGCTAGGCCTCTGGTGCCCCTGACAGGCTTGTAATGCCCCTGGAAGGACTGTGGTGCCCCTGGGCCCTGACAAGCCTGAGGTGCCCCTGACAGGCCAGTGGTGCCCTTGCTAGGCCTGTGGTGCCCCTGGCAGGCCTCTGGTGCCTCTGACAGGCTTGCGGTGCCCTTGGAAGGACTGTGGTGTCCCTGGGCCCTGACAAGCCTGAGGTGTCCCTGACAGGCCCGTGGTGCCCTTGTTAGGCCTGTGGTGCCCCTGGCAGGCCTCTGGTGCCCTTGCTAGGCCGCTGGTGCCCCTGGCAGGCCTCTGATGCCCTTGCTAGGCCGCTGGTACCCCTGCGCCCGGAGAGGACTGGTGCCCCTGAAAAGTCTGAAGTGCCCCTCGGCAGGCCCGTGGTGCCCCTGACAGGCCCAAGGTGCCCCTGCGAGGCCGGTGGTGCCCCTGGCAGACCTCTGGTGCCCCTGGCAGGTCTGTGGTGCCCCTGGCAGGTCTGTGGCGCCCCTGGCAGACCTGTGTTGACTGGTGCCCCTGCTAGGTCGCTGGTGCCCCTCACAGACCTGTGGTGCCCCTGGGCCTTGACAAGCCTGAGATGCCTGGCTATGACAGGCTCGTGGTGCCCCTGATAGACCAGTGGTGCCCTTGCTAGGCCTGTAGTGCCCCTGGCAGGCCTCTGGTGCCCCTGCTACCCCTGCGCCCGGAGAGGACTATGGTGCCCCTGAAAAGCCTGAACTGCCTCTCGACAGGCCCGTGGTGCCCCTGGGCCCTGACAGGCCCAAGTTACCCCTGCGAGGTCGGTGGTGCTCCTGGCAGACCTCTGGTGCCCCTTGCAGGTCTGTGGTGCCTCTGGCAGGCCTGTGTTGACTGGTGCCCCTGCTAGGCCGCTGGTGCCCCTCACAGGCCTGCGGTGCCCCTGGAAGGACTGTGGTGCCCCTGCCCCTAGGGGTGCTCATGGGATGGGCCCAACAGGTCCGTTGTGCCCCTGACAGGCCTGTCGTGTATACTTGCTAGACCTGTGGTGCCCCTACTTCCTGGCAGGCCTGTGATGCCCCTGGCGGGCCTGTGGCGCCCCTACAAGGCCGTAGGTGCCCCTGAAAGGTTTGTGGTGTCCCTTAAAGGACTTTGGTGCCCCTGACAAGCCTGAAGTGTCAAGGACAGACCCTTTAGACGCCAGGGTCAAGTTCGTCGGACTGACAACGATTTGCTTACCTGATAACGTTCCTGGTAAGTACTCACTACTCAGCGTCCACAACATATATACACATAGCACATTCATATATACTTGCTTACAATTGGCAAATGTGGTTGTGGCTAAGAGTTAAGATACTGACTAAAAATAAAAAAGAAAAAAACTGAAAATGGGGGCACCACCAAAATGAAGTGGACGAAATCCGTTGAGTTTTTAATTTTGGGTATAGGTAGGGGCACCACTTCGATTCATGACCCTCCCCTTGGAGTTTTCCTGGATCCGCCCCTGGAGCGCAGGGACCATCACATAGGATTCCGTTTTTTCGAACTTCGGAAATTTTTTGGGATTTTTTTAGTTTTTTTTTCTAAAAAATCAGCTTCTTTAATTTTGGGGGGCCAAAGCCCAAAAATTTGAAAATTCGCCCCTTTCTCTCTGATACCAAGACGGATGTCGCCTACTGTCCAGGAGACGTAGGTAACTTGTTGCCGGCTAGACCATACATCCCGGGCTATAGCGGCGCCGCGTCCTAAGTACAGGTGAAGGTCTTGCGGGTTCATTAGCAGTAGGTTTTGCACCTAGAAAATTTAGTGTACTTCAGGCCATGTCTTCGCCGTCTTAAGCTTTTAAGTGTTGAAGATGCAATCGACTTGTTTGGTAACAAGCCGGCCATGATCGTGTAAAATGGCTTCACCGTAGATCGATTAGTTTCTGAGATATAACCGGAAATGTAAAAGTGCAAAACCTACCGCTTAACCCGCGAGTTGCTGGGGGGGGCGTTAAACGCCCCCACTTTTTTTGCCGGGCCATAGCATAAAAACGGCGCGCCGCAGGCGCGCCAAATTTTGGGTACCTATAGAGAATTGATTGAAGTTTATTGTGACAAAGTTTCAAAAAAATCGGTCGGAAAATTTTTGAGATATCGAGGTTTCAGTGACGTCATGATTTCTGAGTTTTCGCCCAAAAACGGCATATGTTCAAAAAATCATATAAAATCACAGAATAAACATACAGACATGCCGTAAACGCCATTAGACTGCCAATACCATGATCAATCGAATGGCTATCTTCAATTATTGATTATCGTTCCGCATTTTCCAAAATCTTGAACTGAATCTTGGCAATTTTTCGTGACCATGATACATGAATTTCTTAAATTGAACTTTTTGAGCCAAACACGTACACATATGATAAAATGAATGTCACCATCGTGTTCTACGCCCCAAATCACCTAAAAAACATGTGTCACAGGCTGCGAATATCAGTTTTAATTTTCGGGGATATGTGCCTACCCGGTTGACCTGACCTTGACCCTGACCTATGCTTGACTGACCCCTGTATGGAGCTGACACTCTTGTAGGCCTTATAAGATGGATTGTGCACCGTTTTGACAGAGTTTATGGCGAGAGGCGCCCATTGCGAAGTCCTGAAGTCCATGCTACTGAAAGCCCGATTTCAGGTGTTTGATCTGACCTTGACCCGACCTGTGACCTCAAAATTCAACTTTAAAGTACTCATCTGAGGCGTCTCGTCGCGCTCTTTCGTTTGCCGCCTCGTGCGTTTCGCTGCGCCTATTGGTTCTCGAGTTATCGGCTGGGGGCGTTTAACGCCCCCCCCCCCCCAGCAAACGGTGGGTGGCGAAATACCCCAGCAACTGCCGGGTTAATCTCGCGAGACCTGTACGTAAGTAGGTAGGTATGTACGGTTCTCCAGGGTATTAGTCGTTGGTCGCTCGGCGGGCGGGAGGGCAACCAGTTCCGCCCCTGTATCGCGTGACCCCTTGCTCCGCCCAGTTACGCACGAGCGTACTCCACGCCGCGTAGTAGCGTGGGGAGGGGAGGGTTAGAATGGTGGCATGTGTAGAGGCTAGAACCGGTTTCCACCGCCATGCCACCGCCCAGCGACATGGAGCGGGGTCAGTGACCAGGGCGCAGGGAAAGGTCAGAGGTCAGCTATAACGTAGAGCTTTGTGTCTCCCTCCCCTCCGCGTGTAACGACCGCACGACAGCGGCCGGCCGCCGATCAGGCTTGACATGTCAAGGTCACCCGCAGTCAACGGGCTCAGAGGGTTGGTCGAGTGCTCGTCCGTGGCTGACGACAGTCTCGACCATGTGCTATGGTGCCGATAGACTAGCGTGCGTAATAAGTTTTTGTTCAGTGCATATGGCTGCTGGAGTGTGTCATCTTGATATGATGCTTTGTAACGTCTATGATACGCTTAAAACCTCGCTGGCAGTGGCCGAGGGGGGGGGGAGGCGGGTGCCGCCTCCACATATTTATTTTTGTTGATAGCTGCGAGAGCTGAAATTTGGCAAGCCTTTGATTCAAGCTGAAACCTTTGATTCAAGCTGAATTTTTATGACAGCAGCTGTATTTTCACCCTCGCCCATATTGGTGTTTTGCCAGCGTCTATCGTAAACGGGGGA